AGGATAGTGTTAATCAAGGAAAAACAGCAGCCAACCACAATAAGCCAACATTATGAAGTTTGCTCGACCGGGCACTCATTTCAAGGGCACCAATGGTAATTCTGCGTTTCAAAGCGAAGTGATCTCCGCGCGGAGGCGGGCCCTAGAGCACCGCTGAGGGCGCAACTCACGCGATCTTGTCAGGCTACACGTGCATATTTATGAAGTTCCAATAAATATCAATCGCGTTTCTCTATGTATAAAATAGATATCATTTTCCCTTTCCAACGGAAGTGGGTGAATGATATTTCGTGAACTAAATATTCTCAACACGCATACCCTCTCGCCATATTTGAATCGTTGACTAACGAGGTATGATTTTGGCAAATCTTGTCCCAGATGGGTCTCGGGTTTTGGCCACCAGGCCTCACATCCGTACGTTTTGGTTTAGCGAGTATTCCACCTCTGTAAGTAGAATAAGTTGCATGGTGAGTCCGCCGACACTGGAAATTAACCAACCCCCTGACTTTTCACGAGTTTAATAAAAGTACCACACTCGATTCAATTGTCCCCACTTTCACTCGATTTGTCGGAATTTAACCGTAGAATATTTGAAAAAAAAAAGGACTCGGAGGTTACAGACAGATGACCCTCATTGGGTCATACACCCCCTCCTTTACAAGTTCTAAAGAATTCAACATGATTGTCGTAGAGTGTGCAAAAGGTCGACAATCTGAATTAATTATGTACAGTAAAAGTTGGACTTTGGTTCAATATAGTCGACTCTGGATCCGCATACCACAAAGTTACCGACATGAGTGTTTACCAATTACTAGTACGCGGCCGATCTCTTATTTTTTTGTTGGGAAATTGAGAATTGAAAAAAAAAAATGTGCGTGAACATTTTGAAGAACAAATATTTAACGAAATGCTATTAGAAAAAAATGTATCGGTTGCTTGTTAGCACAGTATTTACTGTATTTATGAAGCTTTAAGATCGGCAGTAAATTACTCAAAGTTATCAACACTATCAATAAGTTAAAATATAAACTAACCGATGAACACTCTCTGTGTCGCAAATCTGAACGAAAGAAAGAATGAAGACTTGGCGTCATAATATAAGATCATGTATTATAGTATATTTCAGTTATTGTCCGTGTCACGGCGCAGGTTTGTCGTTTTCTATTTTCCCATAAGCAATAGATCGGCGAGAAATAATGACCTTTACCCTCGACCAATAAAAACACTACTTTGATTCCTTCTCTCCCGTCTTGTGGTACGAGCCGATATTTAGATTATTCACGCCTAAATAAATCACCAGACAGACTCAGTTATAAGCAAGAAATGGTGTTTTCATTTAGACTAAAAAGTGAACGTACACACCCGTGAAGGAGTTTATTAACTGCCAAATTGTTGAGGCATAGTCTTGGAAAAGCTCTAATTTTTCAGCCTCCAGTCTCGAAAGAGGTGTGTATTCAGCCTAGACTAGTATTACTAGTCTGAGATTAAGCATTTCGCTGTGGAAAACCATCTTTCAAAATCAACACAAGTGCTCTCCAAGCATAACAGAGAGTCGTTATTTCTATCAACTCAAAGCATAGTTCAAGTTTGAAAAATCTAATGTTTCGGTGAGAAAACTGTACAAACGTACCTGTCCAGAATTATATTCTCTAATTGGGCAATTTTTCGACAATAGTTTTGAAAGAAATAACCATTTTTGCATTTTGGCTGTTCCTTGAAGGGTTGGGTTTTGACGGCGCATTCATATACCGTGTAGTCAGCGCAGCCTTCCTGACCCCCACCCTACACAACCACCCATCCACGTAAAAAAAGAATGTGACATGTACAAGTGACCACTGCGTTGATTTTGACAACTGATTGTTACTGAAATGCGAATATCAAGTTTAAACATGACATAAATCGCGATCGTACTGTTTAAATCATAGTCTTTCAACAACGTTGTTGAAAGACAGTATGCACGTATACCAACATACTTACGATTGCTGGGTATTCGATTTTGTAAACTGATTACAAAACGGTTATTCGTCAGCGCGATATCTTGCAAGGCCGCTGGTGTACGAAGTTTAGGGTGCGGTGTGCCGAGCGCAGTATTTCTATTACTGTTATGACGTACTCTAAAATTGTAATGGCGGGTAACATGTCCAGGTTAAAATATATAGGTTGTTGACTCAAGTAGCCATAAACGATACCGTAGCGACTGGTGTAGAGGGCAAGTGCTTTATTTATTGACCCTTATTACTGACATGGGTAAATTTTTACCACGGGCCATAACGTTCGCAAGTTGCCCCCCCCCCACCACGGGGGGGTGGAATACTTGCAAAAATACTGACAGGGGTGTGTAGCTGTTTGTTTGAAACCCCTACCCTGTATCAGACAGAAATAAACTCAAATTGCCCACCCTTTTCAGACAAACTGTGGATATTTTACACCCCTTTCCAGGCAGTAAGCATAAGTGGTAAACAGCGAATCAGGTTTCAGGTTTATTCATTCCGGGAAATGGGGGAGGTCAGCTATTTTTATTTTACCTAGATGGACTGACGGGAATAGACTTTGGCGATCGAAATGAAGATACAGAAAGAAAAAATCAGCTTCATTCTCCTGATTATTGGATAACTCAAGCTCGAGAGACAGTCTTTAGAAAATATGAACCCATTTTGAGACAGAAATAATGAAAAAAGGATACCCCTTTTCAGACAGACAGGGTAAAATAACATACCCCTTTTTCAGACAGAAGTGGTGAATTCGGGACCCCTTTTGGCGGCACATATACATATACGACTTCAATGTGAGTATCCTCCCCCGGTTGTTTCAATGTAAGTTCTAAGGTAAAACTAAATTGACAGAGCTATAATGTAATCCGGTTCACTGTTACCTGCTAGGGAGAGACGTGCTGATGGGACAGTTCAGTTTTGGGATTCTATGTACAATACGCTAGAAGTCAACTAGGGCGGACATCCGGGCATTTTACCGCCTGGCAACCATCTCGGTGAAAGAAAGGCCGAAAAACTTTCAGAAAACGGTACTTTGAGATGGTTGTTGAGACTACCCTGAACAGTGTTAACAAGATTACTCCTGCGTGTGCAGTTTTCTTGAATTTAGCTATTTAAGTTTACCGGCTCTTCGTGAATGATTTTAACATAAACTCGGAGTATAAACACAAGTTATACATTTGTCAAATGTTATTTTGTGATCAACATGGGTATACAATTTTTAGTAACCCAAATACAAATATGGCGTAGCAACCCCGCCCTGCTTTATTCCAAGTAAAAGCTCCATCCGATGACGCAGATACCTTTTTTTAGATCTACCCGGTGATTCTCAGCCAATCAGAATGCTTGTTGTAGGACTTTGTATACACCTTGATGAAATGTCCTGTTTCCGAACCGGAACCGGAGCCGGATGCAGCTAGGCCACAACTTGGGCCAAGTTGCACATTTTACACGTTTTCACAATGTTTCAAAACATTTATATCGATAATGGGACATCAATAAAAAAATCTAAACATGTTTTTAAGTTGCTACGCTAGGGAAAAAAAACAGGGCTTAAACGACAGGAGATATATTAGCTCTGTGAAATACCATGTTGCGTATATTGTTCGAGTTGAAACCGAAATAGTCGTTCAACTCAGGAGCCAATCATGATCAGCGACGGTCTTACAGTTAGATGACAATTTCGATTTCAAATACCTCGGAAAATTGTTCTATGTTCGTATGCAATGATTTTTTTTTTCATACAAAAACAACAAATTCGGCGGAATTTTATTAGCGATCGGCTTAATCTTACCCCAATGGATCGCTTAGCTGTAAAAGTTTTTTTCCCCGATTTGTAGAAAACTGAAAAACGCGCTTCACAACTTGGTTCTTTATTTAGTTCATATTCAAGATGGCTGCCCCTATATAGTAAATATCGGCAGATTAATCGCATTTATTTTATTATCACTTGTGCGCCAGCTGACTGTGTTCATCTCCGCTGTACACGAACTCTATCCGAACACTGGCAGTTTGGTATGCGCAAATGTTGCAGCGCCCTCACATGGCAGATTGAAACGTTTGAGAAAACTCGAAAAGGGTAAAATATGTATACGCGGCCACTCGTAACGTATAAGTAATACCTGTTCTAGAACTTCTATAGCATGAAGCATTGCAAAATAAAGCATGATCCCTCTTTCCCAGTACAAAATCTATATATTTTAATATAACTTACATTTTTGAAGATTCTATAAAAATGTATATGTTAGAATTTTGCAGTTGATATCATTATCAGTTTAAATTGATAATTACAATTTTGCAATCAATCTTCATATATCAATAAGAATTGTTGACAGGACATACTTAAAGGGCGGCAGTCGTCGCACCGCGTCCTGTTTGACATGGGATTCATAGCGACGCATACAACGCGTGTAAAATACATTGTTTATTTACATGAAATTCGAACACGCGCTGCGCGACGACCACCGCACTTTAATTTCTTCAGTATAAATTATACCTCCCCACAATATATATTTATCGATAGGCAGTTTGTGAGGTCACGCTAGATTTTAAGTCGATTATGACTTCTCACCCGCACTCTTCTGCATCTGAAGTCATCCCCTCGACGAAATGTATCGACCTGTGGCCTCGGCATTATATATGATTTCGTGTCGAACTTCATATCCAAGAAAAGAACCCTCGTACCCGGGCTTTACCCTTTACTCGAGATGGTTTGCTGCATGTACTTTTAAATCACTCAAAACAGAAAGGCATCACCACACACGACACGATAATAACCGACGTTTTAACTTTCCACACAACTCTTCACAGTACAAATCGCTGACAAATAAGCCCGGCGAACGCCCCATACCTTAAACACGGCACAAAATAGGC